TCCTATGATCCCTCTTGTATATATATATATATTCCCCGTGTCTGTACAGTTGTAATTAAATTCATTCAATACAATTCATACAGTTTTCATCGTTTCAACCCAAATCTCTAACATATTACCTGGGTTCTCCTCATTCAGTATACATATCAAATCCATGTTAGATTGTAGCAATTTCAAACTACCATTCCAATAGCAATAAATTAGTGCTCCTACTTCACAATATCCTAACAGCACGTTTGGTTCACAGAATGAATTTGGAGGGAATAGGAATGCTATTCCACAGGGATAGAATAGGAATTGTATTCTGTTGTTTGGTTGGCTGAAGAAATACACTTTAGTAATTGTATTCCAGTCTTTTGTTGGTTAAAAGAATAGAAATGAAATATGTTTTAAAGACATAAATACCCTTGTACAAAATAATAATAATAATAATAATAATAATAATAATAATAATAATAATAATAATTATTATTATTATTATTATTATTATTATTATTATTATTATTATTATTATTATTATTATTATTATTATACAAATACATATTTATATTTATATTTAATTTCCCACTTATCCCACATCGGTTGGAGAAGTTAGGAAGGGAGCCTTGAGGCTCTTATAAAAGGAGCCTAAATGCTCCATAATTTTAATTGGAATGCTCATTCGCTAGGCAAGCTTACAATGCCCATCCACTAGGCATGCAGATGGGCAGGCTACTTAATTTAGGATCCAAGGCTCCATAATTAAGGAGTCTTATACAGTTAATTTTATATATATATATATATATATATATATATATATATATATATATATATATATATATATATATATATTTGATAGATTGATGGATAGAAAATATAATTAATTAAATATATACATTTATATAATACATTATATTTATTAAATAAATATAAATATTATATAATATGCAAAAGGTATTTTTGGTATTTGTGATACAAAAGCTATTTCCAAGGGCATGAGAATAGCTAATACCAAGGATACCCCTAGGAATGGCTATTTCCCTTGCGAAGGTAATAGCCCATTCCTAGGCATGTTATTCCCATGACAAAATGATCGAACCAAACGATGGAATAGGTCTACTCCAAGGAATGTTATTCCATTCCTGACCTATTCCATGAACTAAACATGCCATAAATGTTTTATCCTATCCTTCAACATTTCTAAACAAACTTCCTTAGCTTCCATTCTGTCATACACTTCTACATCACCACCCAAATATTTAACTTCACCAACTCTATTTATTATTCCGTTATGGAAAAGGAAAACTGAAAAAGGTCCAACTCGATTACCTATAAAGCAAGCATTTACACATGCAACAGTCAACATAGTGGTCCCCATAGAACACAAAACAATAAAGCTATACAGAAATGGTTCATAATCCCAATTTATGCACATAGCATATTGACAAAAGTATAAATATAGTGGTGATCCCCACAGAACACAACACAATAACACAAATTATTCAAAAAACTATACTAGAAATGATCCCCACAGAACAAAACACGAGTACAGAATATATTCTATTCATATATAAAGCACACGTCAAACCCTAGATATGCTTTACTGCCATTCTACTCCACACACACAAAACACTCAACCCAAACAAGAAATATTGTTATACACTATCAATTTCATCCAATTTTAACGCTTAACAATGTATTTCTTACTTAGTTGTAGACCCATTTCAGTCGTAGATGATGAATTAGGCATTGTATGATACGAATTAGCCATACGCAGAAGAGGATGTCCAGACGTAGTAGACGAAGTCTAGTCGAAGATGATGTCCAGATGCAATAGACGGATTCATTGCTTTCGTATGAGAAGGAGGAGGTTCTAATTGTTCTTTGCAGTGTAGTGTAGAGTATAATTAGGTAAAATTTGATTTAGGATATTAGGATATTTGACCAAGTAGAATGCCCAGCGACCGGATGAAATCCCCCCCCCCCCCCCCCCCCCCACCTTCTTTTATCCCTTGCAATGACCGTTTTACCCTCGTAAAAAAAATTCGAACGCAATTACGTTTTTCCGGTGAAAATTGGCCGGCAGGACCAAATGTGTTAACAATTGCATAGTTATATGATTAAATTGAGAGTTTTAAAAGTCAAGTACTCAAATTAACAGCACCCCAATAGTCAAATTAATGGACCAAAAGTGCAATTAATTCTTTATTCTATGTACTGAGAATTGATTTAGAACAATCTGATAACACGTTTTGAAATGAAACGTATCCTAGTGTGAATCATTGTACTGTTCTTATCGTAAAATTACACTGTCTATTACTCTTTACAATAAAGTAGAGAGAATACAAAAATACAGAGAGGAAAATATCAGTCGTTTATTATATATATATATATATATATATATATATATATATATATATATATATATATATATATATATATATATATATATTTATTTATTTATTTATTTATTTATTTATTTATTTATAGGGATGCACTCAGGTGCGAATAAGTGCTCAGGAGGGAAATGCGAACGAATCAGCGCGCGACACGTGTCCATATCTAATAACTTAAAAAAAAACGCGGTGGCATTTTCGTAAATAATTGAACATCGAAGTGCAAGTAAAATCACTTACAAGTGCACCTACTTTCACCTATAAGTGCATGTAATTTTGCCTTGTTAGCATTCACTTTCCGCAAACATTCATGCACCTGGGTGTGCTTATAATTATATGTGCAACTATTTATAACTATAGGTGCAACTACTTATAACTATAGGTGCACCTACTTTCACCTATAAGTGCATGTAATTTTGTCTTGTTAGCATTCACTTTCCGCAAACATTCATGCACCTGGGTGTGCTTATAACTATCTGTGCAACTATTTATAACTATAGGTGCAACTACTTATAACTATAGGTGCACCTACTTTCACCTATAAGTGCATGTAATTTTGCCTTGTTAACATTCATTGATCTGAGTTCAGCGGGTAGTAATACCCCTGAAAACCACTCGCAAACATTCATACACATAGGTGCAACTACTTATAACTATGTGTGCAACTACTTAGAACTATAGATGCAACTACTTAGAACTATAGGTGCAACTAAGTATTGATGCTCAGTGTAAATTGCACCTATAATACATTTTACATGCACTTGTAAAATACATTTTACTTGCACTTCGATGTTCAATTATTTACGAAAATGTCACCGCGTTTTTTTAAAAAATCAGTGTTTCTCATCCATTAGATCTGGACACGTTGACGAACAGAATTTATTCTTATTTCGCGCCTGGGCGAAGCATTCGCACATATATATATGTATGTATGTATATATATATATATATATATATATATATATATATATATATATATCTTACTTTTGTGTTGGTAGATTATTATATATCATTGAATTAGTACTAAATACTATAAATATTTTAAAAATAGTAAATATGTATCAATGATTAAATATTTACTTTAAAATTAAAGCAATCATCTTTAAAACAAACTATATCAGCAACTATTATTATATGTATCAACAAGGAATTTTTTTTAATGCCTCTATGCAAAATAGAAAATGCAGGAATATTTTGGTAATAATAATAAGACTAAATAATAGTAGCAATTGTACTCAGAAAATAATAATAGTAATTCTAAATTTGTACCATCATATGGTGGTATGAGAGTTAAAAATATGGAATTTTTCCATTAAAATGATAGAAATTTAATATTCTTTTTCATTAATATTTGGCGTCTCAATGCCTCAATCTTTTGAAATTTAATTAGTAGCCCTGGTATCAGATGATTTTCTCCATTTTTACACATAATCAATGAAAATAAAAGTCATTTTCTTGATTTTATGCACTTCATTTGTACGTTTCCAAGTTCGATATTTTTTTCTTCTTATTAAGTATTTCTTTGTATAAATTTATAAAAAAGATATTGTATAACCTCACCAAATACACGGTAAAAATTTATGATTCTTCCTATTAAGTTTTTCTTTGTATTAATTTATTTTTAAAATATTACTCTCCCCCCTCCCCCCCCCCCCCCCCCAACATTATATATCGTTATGAGACATTTGGTGTCTATTAGGGAAGATTCGTTTTTTAAAGTATCAGTTTTTTCACTTTAACGTTAGCACTCACACTCTTTCTCTCTTTAAATAATTATGATGCTTTTGCCTTTTAAGTACGAACTTCTTTGATAAATTCGGGTAGGATTTTAGTTTTTCAGATTCATTTCATCCTCACGTACAAATTTCTGCAAGGTTTCCCAATGTCTTATTTCATCAATGGTGCCGACATATATTCAACATATGAATCAGAAGCATCAAGGTATATCTCTCTCTCTCTCTTGATGATGAGTTTTCATTTCAATTACAAAAATAACTTTCTTAAAAATATTTATGATAGATCTATGTAAAAGATGGTTTTTATAAACTCTGTTGTTGAACTTGCGGTAGTTGGTCGTTCTGATTTTGACAATAATTCATTAACTAGATGTTCAACAAATTCATGTATATTCGATAATATAGTGTGCTCAATTTTTTCATAGATCTAAGGAGTATGAAATTGTGATCTATCTCTTTTATGAAGTTGTGTACTTATTTTGTTTGAGCACAAAATATTTAATAGATCTACTTGTATTCGATATTGAAATGGGTAGATCATATATAATTAGATTTGACAAAATCTAGTTGAAAAGTTCATGAATAGAAAGATTTTACAAAACATGAGAGAAATTTTCTTGCAATCCTGGTATTAGCTTTTTCTACCAACAATACCATTACCGTTTTTTTTTTTTTTTTTTTTTTAATGTAAAGATTAGCGTTTTTTTCAATATTTCCAGGGTTGTGCCTAACTCTGCATCGGAAAGCCCACTTCCAAAAATTCCAGAGGTTTGTTTACTTTTCATAACAAAACTTATTTATTTATTTTGATATTTTAAAATCACGTGTTTTAAATTCTTTAAATTCTTAATAATATGGTATATATATGTAGGGGAGACTGACTGACACAGTCCCTATACAACCATTACCATTCGGGCACCCCACTACAATGATATGGTCTATTCCCTCTCCAATGAATTCGTTGAACTCTTTTAACGAATATTCATATCATATTACTGGAAACACAAGCCAACCAGTGATGGTATATATTTCCCATTTCATTATAATTTGTTCTTAATTTTATGAAATTATTTCTAATGGTTTTATTTTAATTTTAAAATTTTAATGCTCAAATTGAAAATGCCCATTCAACAATGCCACCAACAAGCAATCCACCGAACCTGTCCCCTATCGTATGGCTTTTAAACAATGTTCTTTCGACTCTGTTTATAAATATTTACGTAATGTATAGAAAATAGATTTTTCTATTATTGTTAGAATATATGATGTAGTAAATTTTGAATGATAAATATTTATACTAACTTTTAAATTATGTTTATTGATGCTCTTATAAAGGAGTTTAGTTCCAAACATTATTCCGGTATAAGTACATCCCAAGGGAAAAGATCAAACCACACTAACCAGGTAACTTTATTAGTCAATACATATATAATAAGTTGAAGTTTTATAGTAGTTTTTATTAGAATGTTTTAAAAGAATAGAAATTATTTTTGGCATAGGTTACTTTTAATCTGAAATTTATTTTTAAAAAAATTCCCCAAAAAATTATATTTTATTATATTTTCAAAATTAAAAAAAAAAAAAAAAAAAAAAAAAAAACAGGTTGAAGTTGTTGCTAATAAGAGCGGGCAAGAAGGATGTCTGCAGTCAATAATTTACCAGGGATTATCCACCAACACTCCAAATAACACTTTACCAGAGACTTCAAGTGGTTCAATGTACGTACAACATCTCTTTATATGCTTGATTAATTGTTTTTTTTTAACCTCATTTCCTAATTATTATAAGTTTGTGTAGGCCCATTATGAATGGATTGTATGATCCTAAGTATCAAGAATTTGGCTTACCAGTTGATCCTCATCTTCGATGCTTGATGTTAAATCCAAATTTCATGCATGGTGACACAAACCAATATTTTTATATGTACATTTTAACTTTTATATATATTTATAAATAGTTGACTCCGTTTTATTTATGCCTTTAAATAGTTTACTTATATGCAATTGTTTATGAAATTGCAGGTCAAAGTTAATCCCCGATTTTCCAAGGATAATTATTGATCATCACCAGACATTACTTTGGATGATTTGACCGAGATAGCAATTAAGAAGCTGAACAGAAAAGAACTCTGGTTGAAACAATCTTTATATTTCTATATACTTTGTCAAACAAAAGTTTAGTTTCTATTCGCACTATTTCATCAACTAAAAATACTAGTTCTATAAGGATTTTATAAATGCTTTGATTAGATCCCTTTTAGACTTTTAGTTGGCTAAATCATATCCTTTGGCAAATTAAAAGTCTTAGAATGTACGTTTCGTAATATAGAATATAATAGATGTATAATATCTACCAAGTGTTAGTATAACCTGTCTTAAAACGTGAGTCTTTAAAGACACTATTTCAAGTAAGCTTATGCTTTAGGTTTTAGTATAGATATTAGTTCAAGGACAACAATATAAGTAGTTATATTACATAGAGATATTTTCAGATGAGAAATTTATTACAAGAAGATAATTTAGAAAACATTAATCTTGAGGAAAGTTAGTTAGTCGTAGACATGCTTGAAATGACCATATTTCTAATAAAAGTTAGTAGATTGATAGTAATACGAGTAAAATTAGCAATAAGACTTCTTAGCTCTAAGGTAGTAAAACATCCTCTTTGTTGGTTCTAGACAAGCAGAAGGTCTTGAGGGTGGAGGGTGAGGGTGGGGGTTGGAGTGGGGTAAAATTGAATTTTTAAAACTTTTTAAAAAATATGATGAGATTTTTGAAGTGAAAGCCTTTACCTTGCCTAATTTGGTCATTTTGAACTTTTGCAATCGTTAAAGAAAAATTGTATGTGTTTGTGTTTGAGTTCATAAAAATTAATAGAAATAAAGTGAAAGGCATATAGAAATTGAGATGATATTTTTATAGTCGATCGGGAACTTCCACCTCACTTTTCTCGTTAATACTAGGAGGTTTCACTACGAATACAAGTGAAAGTTTAACTTTCACAATAGTGCAAATCAAGTCTGAAATTGCACCGTGATACTTGAAAAATAAAAACAATGTGTTTTTACTCATTAATTAAGTTATGCAGCAGTTTCGTTAATCAATTAGATTTGTTTAAGCAAGTGTAAATAATAACTGCAGAAAGCATAAAGTAAGTTAAAAACACAAAGAAATTGTTACGCAGTTCGGAGCTCCTTCTCCTACGTCTGCGGGGCAACCCACGTCTGCCCAATCCACTATAGATGTTCACCAAAAGGAGTATTACAAGAGGTAAATGAAGATGGCCTCCAGCCTTTACCACTACCACTCTTTCTAACACCTATCCAGGACTGACACACGAATACCCGAACAATCTTCACAAGATACTTCAGCAATACCACGTACTGATCATGTAGTACAGATTAAATATTCTTAAGAATTAAATAATAAACCACATTAAAATGAATAGCTTTGTAAATCAGAATAGCTCTCGTAAATTATAATCTCAAAGTTGGCAGCATATTCTTTCGAACAGCACCTTTTTATAGCACTTCATGAGCTCCCTTTGTGATCCCTAAAAGTAGCCCTTCCTTGTTCAAATAAGCCACAACCACAATTTTATTTCTTTGAAATCTTCACCCGTAGACTTTATTCACCAAGGCATACCATCCACTTATTTTGTAATCATATGGTCCAAAAAAGAAATAATTCTAACAACAATAATTTAATTAAAACTAATGAGACTAAAAATAAAATAGCCAATATTGTGTAAATTATTTTACACTTACAATCTCCCCCTTTGGAATTTTATTTGGGAAAACTTGAGTATCAAATACTTTGGGCAAGAATCAATTTAATTTTATTTATAGCCCTTAGTATAGGTACTTAACAAGACACAAGGATATAAAACCAAAAAATAACAACTTAAGTTCTTTTTGGACCATTTGTGAATAAAGTACCTGATTAGAATTCTTCAAGCCTTGGATCACACGCAGTAGAATTGAATTCATAGCATACCACATCATAAATCAACTTGTTCATGTGAGTAACATAAACCGAAACATCCATTCAACTTGTTAGGTGCACCAAACAAAACTACTACCCCCCCCCCCCCTAACAAATATAGTCGTATTATTTCCATAATGAATAACATAAAAACTTCCAAAAAGATTAACCACTGCCAAATATTCCATCATAGTCCTATTACTTCCATAATAATCCAACACTTCCAAAAGATCCAAAAGTATCCAAAAATACTCCCCCTTTTTGCCAAATAAATGACAAAGGAAGGTGAACATCATAATAGTGGATTAGATTTGCCGTGCAGATGGGGTGCCCGAAACTGAGTCGTCGTCAGTATCATCAGTTTCATTGGTAGTAGTGCCAGTATCAGCCCTCATATTTACTTGCTGGTGTACACCCATGTATAATATCCAATCTTGCATCATATTGATCAGAATCAAATATCAAACACCAAGAAGATAAAGCCGTTATAAGCAATTTCATCCAAAATATTCCTCATAAATAATCTCATCAAGTAGATAATCCAAGAAGAATCCAAATAAGGTGATGATTATAAAATGAGACCCCAGAGATTATGATGAGCCAAATAAAACGATAACCCAACAAGATAATCCAAAAACTGAAAGAGTCCAGTAAGAGAATTCCTATACCCAAGAAAACCAATATAACCGAAAATATCCAATAAATACACAACTTGAATTTGTTCATAAGAGATTAAGAAGAACTCCCCCTCAAAATGTACATCGTGATTGTTTCCTTTGCCAAAAAATTTCACATTAGCTTGAAGTTGTAATTGGGACTCCATAATAAGTTATTTGCTTTGTTTGAACCTGCAGAAGATTAAAAAAAAAAACAAAAAAAAACAAAAAAAAAAAACAAAAAAAAAAAAACGAAAGGTCTAGAGCCATGCACACGCAACTTGCAAACAACTCAGCAAAACACATAAGAAAGAAAAAATTCAGGAATTTTCAATTTTCAATTCGAGTCAAACAGATTAGCAAATAAAACAGTAAGCATATTCATGTAAAGCAAGCCAAAGATTCAAAATAAATCAAATTCAGACATAGACACATATAAACCAAATTTAGGCACAGATTCATACCAGATATCACGGAAAACACACAAATAAATAATTTAGGCACAGATAGCGCAGGAAACACATAGATAAACACAAATATGGTCATGCAAAGCATATTCAGCCAGAGATTCAACTAGATCAAAATCAGGCACAGATTCATATAAATCAACTTCAGGAAAGAATTCATAACAGTTTAGCACAATTAAGTACACAAGAAAACACAGATACGGTCATGACCGGACCAACAAAACACATTCACATATTGTGCAAATATTAAACAAAATGCATCAAATTTTCATTCAAATAACCATAGAGAATTCAAAAGATGCAACACAAGAAACACCAATAAAGTAACCTCAGTAAAAATAGGTTTAAAAGCACTCACGACAACACAAGTAGAACATTTAGTAACACATAGAAAATAGTCAAGAACAAAACGCAAAGAATCAATCTGGAATTTTGAGTAGTAAGTAATGAAAAGAACTAATTGCGAGAAAATTTAAAAGATAAAATATAAGGAAAATCAATCATAGACACACTCCAAATAAAACATATATGCAGTGTGAGAGCATGTAGGAACTGAACCATTAATTCAAAAGGTAAATTCTCTTATCCTGAAACAGATTCTATCACAGATGCAGAGTATTACACTGGCAAAGATGAAGAATTTCAAGATTTTGATGAATGCAAGGATATTGAAGTAGAGGGCTCCAAATTAGATAAAAGAACACATAAAAACTCAGCTTTAGATATAGGAAAATTTGCAGGTAATTCATAAGACACATTAGACAAAGACACCCTAAAAACATTCAAGGAATTAACAAAAGGAATTAGAGAGTGATGAACCTGTAAACTTTATCAGCAACGATGATGGCAAAATTAATTTTGAAGATGGGTGATCTATTGTGGATGTGTGTTGGAATGTCAATGTCATCTCGATCGCTGTCTGATTCTGACTCCGGTTCAGGTTCTGGTTGATTAGATATGGGCGATGAGGTAGATGACTCAGGAACTGGTTCCGGAGTACCAACGTCAGGGGATTTAAGGCGGTTAGCTTCAGGATCTGTCACTGAGTCAGGTTGAGTAACTTCGATAATCTCATGTGGTTGATCATCAATTACGACATTTGTGGACACCATGATGGTTTTGATCACCTTATTGTATACTCTGTAGGCTCTGCTATTTGTTGAATAGCCGAGAAAGATTCTGTAACACCCCGTGTTACGGCTTCAATCCCGAATTAATTATTTAATTAATTCCGTTAATTATAATTAAAAAGGGATTTAATTTGGCTAGGGTTCCCTTTAATTAATTAATGTGGTCCACCATGAATCGTGGACCCTTGCCTAAACTAGAGCCTTAAGCCTATTAGGAATAAAGGGAGTAAACCTTTTTACTAATCAGATTCTAATTAGGAGTCATAGACCTAATTATCTATTAGGAATGAAGAAAGTAGGCCTTTACTATTCAGATTATGATTAGGATCCCCTTTAATTAATTAATATGGTCCACCGTGGACCATGAACCCTTATCCCTAAACCAAGCCCTTAGTCCTATAAGAAATAGAATTAGTAAACCCATACCATTCAGACCCTAATTGGGACTCCTATATATATATATATATATATATATATATATATATATATATATATATATATATATATATATATATATATATATATATATATATATATATATATATATATATATATATATATATATATATATATATATATATATATATATATATAAAGACATATGGGACACCTAGAAGTCACACCACAATAGATATCACCACACAAGAGTTCCCAAGGGATTCACCACCACCAAGCCTATGGAGGTCAATCGGATGGAAATTTTAGGGAAGAACCTTAATAGCCAAGGGAGGATTAATTAAGGCTAAGAGGTAACCCATGTCTTAACAAAACCTATTTTCTTTGCTATAATTATCTTCTTTGG